ATATGGAGCCACTAAAAGGTTAGCCGCTTGCTAGCGGTAGCCTGTTGCATTACAGGACATGAAAGTTCACTTACCACATAGCTTAACATCGTGATGTCTGTCAGCCATCGGCGATGGACGATGGCATGTCTATTGGCCCAACCCTAATATATACACTGAACAAAATTATAAACACAACACTTTTGTGCTAAGGCACACCTGTGCAATAATCATGCTGTCTAATCAGCATCTTGATATGCCACACCTGTGAGGTGGATGGATTATCTCGGCAAAGGAGACGTGCTCACTAACACCGATTTAAACAGATTTGTGAACAATATTTGAGAGAAATAGGCCTTTTGTGTACATAGAAAAAGTCTTAGATCCTTGAGTTCAGCTCATGAAAAATGGGGGCAAAAACAAAAGTGTTGTGTGTGTGTATAGATAGATAGATGTGCCATGTCTTTATTTTTACTGTATTTATATATGCAGGTAGTTGCATAGGGACTGGTCCAGGTGTGATCCAGGACAGATTTTCCCCCACCCTAGGACGTCATCGTACAAATCCTCTTTTTAATGGCCACAGTGCACACATGGCTTCCCAACCACAGTCACAGTTTGACTTGGGTATGAAGCCTTTCATCAAGTCTAATCAGGTAAACATAAATATTTTTGCAGCACTTACAGCTATAATTACCTTTTTTCAACCTTTCTCAAACCCATTATTATGAAATTACTAAACAATATATCCATAGGGACAAAATCAGCATTTTCACAATCAAAACCAGAACCATTCAAACCAGCAGCAAGCTCAATCTAAGGACATGCCTCCACGCTTCAAGAAGGGGCAGCTCAATGCAGACGAGGTAAACCAGAGGCACTAAGTGCCAAGTAAAACCAAAACAACATCCACCCTGTGATTATAAAAAGACGCGTTATTCTGAGGGACTCCACTGGATGGCAGTTTTCTTACTTTGTCTGTTCTTTGTTTCTTCCTGTTCTTTCTCTCCTCCTTATGCTTCTCGTCTATCCCTTACTCTTAAACTGCCAGCCAGTCCGCTGACAGCGATTATGAGATATGAGGGTGTGAATTGTCAAAATAGTATCAAGCATTTTATTCTTTGTAACTAGCCTAACAATGTTTTTTTTTTTTTTTTTTTCCCCCATGATCCATTCTTACAGATCAGCCTTAGACCTGCTCAGTCGTTCCTCATGAATAAAAACCAAGTTCCAAAACTGCATCCCCAGATTCCTACCATGATTCCACCCAGTGCTCAGCCTCCACGGACACAGACTCCACCACTTGGACAGGTAGAAAATAGTGCTGTGTTCAATACATCGATACGAAGCTGGCCCTGTATCGATATTGTGGCACGTGCGCTGCAGTGGACCGTGCTTAATTTGAATACAAGAACACCGTTTAAAACAGAGTAGAAAAGTGCAAGGTTTCTAAAAAATAATGAATAGAGCATAATATATAGGCTACAACGAGGTTTAATCTGGCCGCAGAGGAACACAACCGGGTTGCCTGATGTAAAGAAATGTAATCCCCAAAACAGAGCTTCCCACTTGCGCAATAC